TCTTATGCAACAGGAAACCAGAAGGTTTTAGAATTTAAGAGGAATAGGACAGGTCATATTTTCTGAAACTATATTTTCAGGCCTTCTGCATCCTTACCCATCCGTTATGTTCAGGTCAAATTTTTGTGTTTCTGTGGCAGTAAGGATTAAAGATGTAATTGCTTTTAAAACAGGTATTTTCAAGTCATCTTAGCCACATAGCCTGGGGCTTTAGACAAACACTTCCATGCCTCAGCCTTCATTTAGCCATTGTTAACCAATTAAAAAAAAATATTAGCCCAAAATAACCCTATTTACCAGAGCTTCCCCCCCCCCCTTGATTTTAGGTGTCGCTAGATACCTAGTGAGAGACTAAATCAAAACCAAATGGCAGAAGAATTTCAGTTTGAGAGAGGTATTTGGTTATGATGCCATAAAGACTGTGACCTATATGAACCTCTGTCTAGACTGAGCTTCCACAGAATCATAGAATCGTTTAGGTTGGAAAGACCTTTAAGATCATCAAGTCCAACCGTTAACCTAACACTGCCATCCCACCACTAAACCCTGTCCCTAAGCAATGCCATTGTGTAGGTAGGCATTAAACAAAGTCAGTTACATCCCTGTCCTGTGATGATTCTTATGCTATGATCTTAAGGAAGAGGAAGAAGACTTGATGCACATCACAGAAATCACTTGGTGTGATTTTGTTTAAATGATCTGCATGACATCTTTGTGCACAGTCGGTATGACAAATCAAAGTAACTTAAGACAAAATGCCTGTGTTGTACTCACAGATGGAAAGTGAAGAATCCGTACAAAACAGTGTTTCTCAGGCAAAAATACATGGAAATGTTATTAAGAAACATTATGGACATCTAAATAAACAAAAGCTCCAGTATTACAATCTACCATACTATTTTTATAATTAAATGAGAAGTGCTTCATAGTTTCCCACAACGTTAAGGTGACTATGAAAACCACAAGCCTACCTCTCCACACATTCATAGTAGTGTTACTCCAGTCCACTGACTTCAGTGGAATAACATCTGATTTACAGTAAAGCATGAGGAGAAACAGACCTGAAGACTGAAAATAAACCTGAGGTTTTTGATGAAACATAATCCTCAGCATGAGATGCAAAAGGTGACTCTCCTGACAAGTGCTACCCAAATTCTTAATAGGTTTCTGTATGTAAGCCCATCTCATTTCATCCTGACATAATCTTAATTAGTCTTAGTTCTACTGCAGAGAAGCCTACTGAGGCAGTTAGCACCATATAATTAATCAGATATTTTGCACGCATCACAGCAACCAACAGTGTCAGCTTACTGATGTGAGTTAATACAAACAGAGATCAACCCTGCCTTTCCCTTTCACATGAACTAAAAGCATGTGGCATGGAATGAACATACGACTATTTCTTCTATACACTGCTTAATGTCCTTTCTCCCCTTAGCAGCCATTTCCTAATGCATCATTACTCTCTGTGAAGTATAATTTAGTTTTTCTGCTGGTACTAGGAGAGTAAGTCCAGCAACAGAAAATAATGTACTTGCAAATATACAACATACACAGTAACTCACTGGATTAAAAGCCTCATTGCAGGAGCCAAACAACACAGTATTGTGCCTAATGTCACCGAGGGGGGAACCATATGATTATATGATTTGATGGCACAGAAGCCGCTGCTTAAGGAAAACAGTTTTATAAAGCTGATTCTCCTTAAATTGAAATAGTTCAATAAGCAGTATAAAACCACAAGAAGGTTTATTCAGTTTTGTATGGCATCTGTAATACACTGCAGTATTTATTAATAGTAAATGCAATGTTTGATACATGGCAGTGTTTTGCTTCAGCAGAACGCTGTAAAACTACTTGCCAGAACAATTTAGTCCATAACTAATATTCAACATAAGAAAGAGCAGTCTAATGTTTTGCAATTTCTCAGATTCTCAGAACAAACCAGTGAGATAATAACCTTCATTTAAATGATATTTTATTTCAGGAACTGACAGTAAACTGCTTAACACCACCTCTCAACAGTGTTTGTGCCCCAAAGCAGTTAAGTATCTAAGATAGGAATTATTAAAAATTGTGACAGCTCCAGTGGTTTCATTTCCAATGGTGTCTCAGCATAGGAACATGTACAGGTGCTGTCATCCACAATTACTTTTCAACAACCAAGGCAACCTAATGCCTATTTCTCAGCACCTAATTGTCCTGCCTCTCCCTCCTATATGAATCTTCTTAATTTATTTTAATCCTGGAAGAATACATCAATTGTAACTCTGGTAAGAATGCTACCAAGTTTGTTTTAACTGAACTAAACCAGCAGTAACTGAAGGTAATCAACTGTTCATTTTCGTTCCTGTTTTAGCAGACGGCAAATATGCTATCAAACAACAGAAATGAGGATATATGTACGGAAAGGAAAGATAAGACGTGGTAAGTTTATCCCAAACAACTTAAAGCCCATCATCAAGCCACCTATATGCACTGATGCCTCTTCTATCCTAAAGACACAGCTGTCCTTTACCTTCTAACCCTGAACTACATTTTATAATCCTACAGTCACTGAATTCAGATTGTGCAGTCTGACACTTAGTCTGAATGTCTAGCATGACATACGATGAGCATAATATGTATGCGCGCCACAGTAAGTTCACAATGTGATTTTGATTAGTAACTGTAAGATTGTGAGTAGGATGTAAATGGGAAGTCAAGACAAGGGGCAGAAGGCAAGAGAGGTAAAGTCAGATTCCTGGAGCTAATTTGGCCAGCAAGAGCTGTGTTTTAACCTGCGACTAATATCTTCATATGAACAAGGCAAAATGAAACCTAGACACAACCTAAACTGTTCCAAAACGATTAGTCATCATAACAAGCTCATGATTGGACTATGTCTACCTAAAAATTGTACACACTGAGAATTGTAGAAAAATGCAAGTCTGGGTCTGGAAGCTTTCCTTCATGATTTCTGTAACTATCTGGGTCTGTCAGTCACATAATCTTTTTTATCACCTTTCTCACTCAGACAAATGGCATATTCACAGAAGCTTTCATTTAGAAGTGGACTAAACCAGAAATATGGATGTTTGGGTAGTGGTTTTAAAAGATTTAAAAACTAATGGCATTCTTACCTTCTCCATACTTTCCTATTCTACCTCATAGCTAGCGTTTTTCAATGCTAGAAATGTTTAACACCTCCAAATCACGCAGAAAATTCTGAACTCTTGGCATTCACCTAAAATCAGACTAAAAATTACTTTCAATATATGGTATGTCCTTAGTTGGGTGACGCTATTAATCTTCAGTGTGAAAAGCGCAGCCACTGAAGACTTGATCTTTATCAATACACAGTAGCCTATGGTATTGGAACTTTGTCATGGGAGCCAGGAATGGAATCTAAGCTTCTTTGGCTCTATCCAGACCCCTTTGATCTGAAGAAGGTCTTGGAGTTGTTGATCATAAAGCTGGTGAGAAGGGCAGAGGCACCTCTATCCTATTTCGCAAAATGTATCTGGTCATTCTTGTCATGTATCTGAATTCATCTCTGGATAACCATGTGACAACATCTAGAGCATCTTTTCTCCAGCAGAGCCCTAAAGCATCTTGTACATTATATTCTTAGATTGTTATTGATGCCTAGACATCTCCAGAGCGTATCTTAGCATGGGTTGTCTTTGTCCAGTGATAGAAGAAAAGCGCATTTATGTAAAGTGGTGTGGGATTTGCAATGCCACATGCAGTGGAAGGTCTTGTTTAACAGCCTACTTCATAGTGCCAACTTTATTTATTTTGCAAGGACTCAAAAACCCTGTCAAGTGTTGAGTCTGCGGTTCCATGGAAACCAGGTGTTCCAGATTGAACGCTTACACTGCTAACACTATCCTCCAGACAGACTCTTTACAAATGATCAGTAATATGAAGATGCCTTCTTCTCGTTTATCCATTCATTTTAGTTTCTTCAGAACAAACTTGTTTTCTAGGATCATCAGAATGTGCTACCTGCATCCAGAAGAAAATTGGGATGGGCTGCACGTACTGATTCTGGTAATACCTATAGCAAGTTATGAAATAGAAAAATCACTTAAAATGATGGTGCTTACCCCGTTCTGTGTCATAGAGGTACACAAACTTCTCCCACTTATAATGAGTCAAGAGACTCAGGATGGCTCCTTTTAATGCTGGCCGCATCTGGATGACAAACTGCACATCTGCATCTGTTGGGAAGCTGGGTGTGACGAAGGATGTGTGAAGGGCTCCACAAAATGACGTCAGTGTGTTCATTGACATCTGGTCATAGAATCCAAAGATGGCATAAACTCCTCTGGAAAACTGCGAACAGACTAACAAAGACAGACAGGGGTGTTAAAATCTGACATATAATAAACACAAACAAACTTTCAAAGTATATTTGAAGTAAGCCTTTTAAGCAATCCTGAAATTATTTTGTATGATGTTCTATATTTTGTATGTATGGAATGAATTAATGAGATGATACACACTAATTTCAGTGTGAGCTGTGAGTGGTACCAACTCTGTCACAATTAAACTGGCCTGAGCACACTTTTGATTGCGATTTGTCCTGCTATATTGTTATAATCCACTAATCTCTCCATGTTCTTTAAAAACAAACATGGGATTACATTGCTTGTCTGTAAAATACCTTCCCTCCCTTGAGTAGCAACTCAAGAGCTCTGTTAGCAGCTATGTAACAAATATCAGGTCTGCCTAAAAGTCAAAACATTAAGATGTAGTTTCCCCTGGTATCCCACCTTGATTCTGATCTGATTCAAAGAAATCCAGATGTTTTATTCCTTTCCAGCCCACAACTCTGAAATCTCTGTATGAAATCTGGGCGTGGTCTTTTTCAGCTTCTTAACTGAGTGTTAAAATCTTTCAGAGCAATTTGGAAAGTGTATGGCTCATTAATGACAACACAAATGAGGAAAACATATTGTTGCTTTATGGGACAGAAGTTGATATCCCTTAACCTGGAGGTTTTTAGTCATTAGCCATTCTGGTGTCCTGAGGAACTCACCTAGTACCAGTAAACACTCTAAATGTAGTTTTAGACTAAACGTGTACTTATCTGGGGAAACACTTCATTTCCCGTACTTTATAGAGATTGAACAATGGACAAAACCCGAAGTATTTCAATATATAAACGTGGTCAACTTCATGGGAGTTGCAAGGAAAAGAACTTCTTTGTTGTTCAACCCTGTAGGAATACAGCAAACTTCTTGTGACCCTGGGTTCTTCCCATGGAGGGAGCCTGATACATGAGATGCTGGGGCTCCGGCCCATCATAAAGATTGTAAAACTGAAATACACTACAGCACAGAAGCACTTCTAAATCAAAACATTTCTGTACTGAGATGAGGAAGTCCCATTTGTAATGAAACTAAGTTTCCCAGAAAAATGTTCATTCAACATTAACAATTTCACTTGTCAAGAACTGGATTGAACAACAATTTTCAGCTAGCCCCATTAACCACTTCTGCCAAAACGCTGCATATTTGACTTTGCAAAAAGCAAGGGGAAGTAATTACCAGTAAAGACGACATGACTTCTACACAGAAATATACAGCATCGTTACTTCCAAAAGTATCGTCATAAAATATTTCCTACCATAAATGCTACCACTCAGAATCACTAAAGCCTGTTAAAGTAATTTTAAAAAGGTTTCTCCACAATATCAGCTCATTGACACAGCATCATGGATAACACCCCAAACAGGTAGTCAGGTGTGAAAACTTGATTTTCTTCCTGCAGATCCAGACGCAAAAATAGAAATGCTATTAAGGAATTTCTTTAAGTGCTTAAGCCGCTGTAACAGGACATGACCAGTCATGGATCCCAGCAGCAAATAACAGCTGGTGTAGACAGAAAAGAGACGCACATGAGGCACAGTGAGGGAATAAGAAGTAGTGATTTCTGAAAGAAAAGTTCATGAAAGTTCTCAACCGAGGTGAAGAAAAGATACGACAGAAGTTATAATACAGCAAGAATTTATTCCCAGAGGCGTGACTGAGGAATTAAATACACCGTTTCAAAAGGCATTTTGCTAAACTATATACCAGCAGGATATAAAATAGAAAAGCTATCACAAAAATTACCTGCTGAAGTAACAAATAAAAGGCACTAACTTACAGGTGAAGAAAAAAAAAAAGAAAAAGAAAGACTACATTAGAAAGTCTGGCAGTTTCCAAATCATTTCAATGGTGTGTAAGCCCTCTAATTTCATGGGAATAATCACTGAAGTGGGGCTAGCAGAGCTGGGTGTCCTCACACACACAGAGTCAGTACCTCACAGATCAGGCTTCTTTTACATATTTATTCATGGCCTAGTTTACTAGGGGTTTTTTTATGTAGATTCTGTACTGAGGAGAAAGCAGAGAAGAGCAAGTATTCCAGGAAACGTCCCTTTTTGCAATGCAAACAAAACATTCTCTCAAATGTCTCCTGACCCTAAAAACCCAGAGTATTTCAAATGATTGGGAGTTCACACATTACTTCTTATCAGGTATAAGGCTCCAGAATACTACTGAACTGTGACTCCACTGAAATCTCTCAGATTTACAGGGATGCAGTATCTGAAAAAAAGAGTCACGAGGGGGCTCAGAAAGCCTACCCTGCTATCTAAGTGTAGGACTATAATGAAGAATACAGATGAGCTCTTACTAGGACTGCTTGTTCCTACGTCCCATGGAGTCAGTGGAGAGAACAGGCATGAGGTAAAGATAACCGGCAGCGGCAGACTCCATCATGGACCAGTTCCTCTGCACCATGCTGGGAACCAGCTGAGAATAGGTGAGGTGTGTGCTCGCTCTTGTTCTGAGAGATATGGCACCTAGGCATTGTGGTCAACATTTTAAAAATGGTTCAAAGTCTTTGTCCTTTGACCAAATTCTGGTTTGCATGGCTGTCTTAAAACACTGAATTAAGGTGTGTCTATTTTCATAGATTGTGCTCATTTATGCCAAGAGCCCATTCTCAATTTGTGAGCAACCTGAGAAAAAAACCAATCGAGAGTCTGAACAGCCTGACGGTAAGCATGACCTTCTCCAAACAATACCTTCTAGCCAACATGGAGCTGCTGCTTGCATGGAGCATCCCAGGGCAGGTGAGAATTTCTGATTTGGCCTTTGAGATATTTGCAAGTTTTTCCCTAAAAATTCTGGAGGATCACCAACAACATCTTCTAACAAGTGCACTCCCCTGCCCAGTCTTATTTCCCCCAGTTCAGGTTTGTATTCAGCACAGATCTTTAGTATTTAACACTTCTACAGACTATCTCTCTGCTATTAGTTTTGAAAAATCTTCATCTCTTAAGCTCCTCTGTTTATTTCTTATAGCTTATTTCTGACTACGTATTCTGCACGCACTGTAGGGTGCCAATTCAATTTTACCGGCCCATTTAAAAGGCAAACAAACCTTTGTTTATGTAAGGAGATGCTAAAAAGCCAATTATTTTGGTCCTCAACATTCATTTGCATTTTTGAACTCACAACTTTGTTACAATTTTGTAGCATTAAGTTGTCCGTTTAGTTTGTGACCTAATCTCATACGTGATCAGATGAACCTAACGAACATCCATGAACCCGTTGCCATATTGTTACTTGTTTTCCAAAAACCAAACACGGAACTACATTCATTTTAATTACATTATTATTCTAAGATCACTGAGCCGTAAGCAAAATTTAAAAAAGGCTAACCAAACCTTAGCTTTAAGCTCTTTTTACAAACTACTTGCTATTGACAATCAGAATCACTCATGTTCGAGTAAGAATTTTGGTATTTTTCCTTAATTAACAACAGTTGATTTATGTTTGGTTTTCCCTATTTGAAAAATGCAGATGGTCAAACACATACTTTGGCTGTTAAAGAAGTGATTTGGACAAATCCTGACGCAACCTCATTCCTCAAAAAAAACCCCAAAAAAGGCAATTTTTTTTTGCTGAGCTATGCCTTTATGAAACTGCTCTTCATTATAGTTATTAATGCTGTGGATGTGCATCCGTTTCCAAGGACTACACATAACCAAGTAGCTTTATAACCTGATCTGAAAAAGCTGCAACCTCCACAAACAAGGGACAGAGGTCCTGAGCAGCAGTTACCCAACGGCGGCTCATAATAAGCTGTTATTTTGGCATTAGGTGCAAGGTGAATATTTATTAATGGAGGCTTAACTCTGGACTTGTTCTCACGAGTAAGTTAGCTGCCACATGCCAACATTTTCAGGAGAGGAAGGGATGGTATGGTTGAAGCCTGTGAATTCTTGAGCATTTCAAGAGAAGATAAGGAACTTTCAGGTCATGAGAGACTGAAGTGTTTCCTGCCAAGGAAGGAAAATGCTCAGAGCCAGAGTGATCACAGTGGTGAGCAGAATTTGCATTAAAAAAGAAAAAAAAAGCAACCAAAAAACCCAACCCAAACCCAAATAAATAAAAATCTTTGTTTCTGTACTGAATAGCAGCTGAGCCATCCTAACCGTCAGCGTAACTCAATGAACCCCAGCCTTCTGTTTTACGAGCAGTTCCATCCTCCCTCCAGTCAAATCAGCCCCGCCACAGGAACGTGCTGAGATTAACCAGATGTGATTTTTTTTCACTCAGACCCCGGGAAGGCTCCAGGCCAGAATCTCAAAAGATGTCCCATTTCACACAAGTTACTATATTAGATGTTTTGTGTCTTTTTAAAATTTATTTTTTGCTTTCTAATGGTATTTAGTCCTTCTACCTTTTAGTGACTGTGAGGATTTCTGACATAGCAAGGTTGTATAGGCTCTGACATTTCTACTGCCTATTGCCTGGAAGCTAAAGTGAAAACTACTGTGACACCTTTTTTTTTTTCCCTCTTTTTTTTTTTTTACTTCCAGTTCCTACTATAAACAACTGAAGTGTTACTAGGAACATTCACAACTAGGTTTGGATTTTGCTTGTTTAGAGAAAAGATGTATAAAGCTGACAAAGAAATATGTTAATGGATGGATCTTAATATACCATTTCCACTAGATGATATCATTAACAACTGACTTGTAGAAGTCGGGGGGATCCTCCCAAGCGTGGCACAGAGCGCACTTCTGCCCAGGGGTGTAACAGCCTGGTAGTTTTGGAGTCAGGGGTTGGAGGTTACAATACCTCAGACTCTATTCCTTCTTCATTACTGTTTGTATGAACAAATAATTTCCCCTTTGTTCATATCAATTTCTTATAAAATAGGTCTGACAAAATTAACCTGTGTCAAAGGGGCACCATAAGGCCTGCTTTATTGATAATTATACAGCTCTTTGGGACGAAAGGCGCTGTAGGAGCACAATCACAGCTGACATTATTGCGTGTTG